ACAGCCACCTTTGCAGTATACCTTTACTCCCCCCAATATCAGCTGTGTAATAAAGGGTTCCCTCCTGCTTCTTCTCATCAGGCTCCAGCTTCCCACACTGCTTTGTGTCACTGTAAAGAGCCACAAAAATCAGCAGCACCTATGGAGCTCAAAAACTCAGGCAGTGAATGGGGAAGGCCTAAATTTGAAATTCTAAAATTTGAAAGCACTTAAAAAAAATAAAATTAGAAATGCTTCAACAACTAATGCTGCATCACAGGACAGTATCAGACCCCAGCTATTTTAGAGATGTCAGTAGAGTCTCCCAAACCTGACAAACACCTTTAATATCAGAGCTAATAACCTGAGAGGGCTTAGGATTGCTAAAAGCTTTGTGAAGTAGGAGCATTTAAATACCCGTGCACAAGCTGTGCAAATACAAGCTCCGCTTGGTGAGCCGAGGGGCAGCAGGGGAGGGCCTGGCCGTGCCCTTGGCTGCTGCCGGGGTGCCCGCTGTGCGGCTGTGGGCCAGCCGGGGTTGAAGATTCCAGCCCACTAGCCCCGATGACACGTCCTCGTGGAACAAAGCCCATTTCCTCTAACCCAGCTTTTTCCCAGGAATTAGCCCATTTAGAATAAAATAAATAAATCATGAGCATTTTGGGAAGGGGGAAAAAAATGTTCCTGCTGTACATAACTTGGGGGAGCAGATGTTTTTCCATTAGCTCACTGTTCTCTGCTACACTGGCTCTCTTTACATTTCTTGCTCATGGCATGTTCATTACAGTACTTTTTCCTAAGGGCAAACTTCTAGGACGTTACTGAGACAGCAGGTAGCCCGCTCCAGCCTCACTATGAGTACAAGGAATAGTTATCCTGTCATTTTTCTTTAAATTGGTCTTAGGTCTACCTGGCGAGGTTCGCAGACTATGCTTAGCAGGCACTTAGCCAACCTTAGATCAAATTACCAGACCTACTTTGCTGTGAGTGGCCATATTTGGTAAAGCATTGGGTTAGTCAAGAAGCTAAATTGTCAGATATAAAGTAGTAGTAAAGACAAACAAAGTGGACATTGTAGTTAAAAGTAAAGCTTAAAATAATATAGCAACAGGTGCTGGAATATTGGAACTCTTATTAAAACTGGCTTGCAGCATTCTAAAATGCTCCGTATAAATAGAGCATATGGTTATTACTGCCTGGAAAAACAATCATACATACTTCAGATAACAAATCACTCCAGTTACCAACAGAGCTTAAAATTATTAAAACTATTTCTTTTCAGTAGTGACACACTTCACTCTCTGGGTCAAAAGTGACCTCATAAAAATGGTGAATGAAGGTAAATTTTGGTCATAAATTTGAACTATTTCAAGTACATTTCCCTTAGCCAAACTGTATGATTGTATTTTCTGAACAGAAAGGAGGAGAACTGGCATGATTTTTAAAAGGAAGTAAGGGGCAGAAATAGTTCCGAGGTCAGACATTTCTCTTGTTAGCACAAGCAGTATTATCACCAGTAATCTCCAGGATTCCTCTTGCAGCTCTTTCTGCAACAAGAGGCAGAAGGAGTTAACAAGCTGCACCAATTGTAGAAGTTCCTTCTCTCAAAGCTGAATTCAAGCTTTCAGTCATGAAACGTAGAACAGAAAGGAAAAATGGTCACATGGATCGCATAAAGACCACCTCTCCTGGAGCTGTACAACAGCAGCTTGTCTGCTGCAGCACCCTTCCTGAGTATTCCTTGAAATTAGCTGTTTCTGAGACTTGAGGCCAAGAATAATGTTCAGGGTTATTAATGTCACAGCCTAATGAGACAACTAAGAAGCCATTACATTTCAAGAGGACTGGGAGGTTATTGTTAAAAGGGACCAGACAAGCTGTGTTAATCACAGTCTTTGCTGCAGAATACTTGAGAACAGAGTATACCTATTAGTATTCCTCTAAGCACACCTGCCGCAGGGAGTGGACAACCTCTCTAGTCTTTGGGGACAGCAGACCTTGTACTCTTCCAAAGCTAATTGTGACTACCTGCAGGGAAAACAGGAAGATATGGAAGCCCAGTGAAGAAATGTGCTAAGTTCCCTGCTGCAGATGACTGTACTCCCAGCTGGTTCTACAAGGGATGACTGGACGCAAGATTAACAGTAAGAATTCACAGTTTTATGTGGATGTGTGAAAGAGAAGAGGACTCTTTCTAGAGACCACAGATCCATCAAGTAGCTCTTTGACTGTTTAGAGGAAGCCACAAAAAATTAGTGTGCCAAAGTTCACTAGGCATTGCTGCAGGGAAAGCCAAGGTACAACAGGAACTGCTATTGCAGCTGCAGGTGGACGGTGATGCAGTAACGATTCCCTACATAAACACCATCTGATCACTACCACCCACTGACATGCCCTTGCAAGCGTATGTGCTGGCTCGGTGGCCTGGCTCTTGGAGGGATGTAAGAACAACCTCACATAGCTATGGGATAGCTAGTTTTGTATACCTATTTCTCAGTCAGTAGGTACAACTACTTTTTGTGCCTTGGGATATAAAGAAGCACGGGAACTGTAACGCCTCTAGTGGAACCCAGACCTGGTTGCAGCCTGGTGCTCTAAATCCATGCCCACACTCAGAGACATGGCCAGCTGTGTCCTGCTAGTGTCTGAAAAGGACAGATGCTTTGTTATAAATTTGCTGTAATATGAGGTCAGGAACTGGTAATAATCTTATCTAAAGGTTTATGATTCATGCTAAAAAGGTTAAAGTGTAAATGACAACAAAAACAAAACACAAGCCATTTCCCAAAGGCAGATTAACATTTTTTCCCTGTAGAGATAGGACACTGAGGTATGAAAAAGTTAGGCAACTTGCCTAGCGTCACAAGATGAGTCATTGACTGAAAAAGGACAAGTCCAAGCTAAACCTGATAGAAATCTACAGCACACTGGTGCAGCTCTATCATGAACATGAAGAGACTCTGGGTGCAGACATCAGAATGTTACACTAATCGGCCTGTTGCTTTCAATAGCTGTTAATTTTGGGGTGAGCTGTAACACAAAATCATCTGACTACCTCAGCTGTTTTTAACCACATATTTTAGTTGTTATTTATGAAATATCTCTATTTTGGCAGATATTAACTTCTTACAAGTATACTTCTTCCTCCATTCCCCTCCTTCCAGATGGGAAAGATTCTAGTACAGAGGGTCAGTGATACCTTTTTGGATTATTCCACTCACTAAAGCCCAGTGTAAGATTCAACCCACTTCAAAGAAGTCCTCTGATTACTTAGGTGCTGTGCTCTTCTCCAGAGAGTAAAGACTACCCCAAAATACCTGCATCTCTCTCCTCATCCCTCAGGATACCAGAATGCAATGACTTCTACACTACTGCGAGAAGAGAATGGGCAGTACCTCATCAAGAGCTCATTAAACTACATCTATAACAATAACTGACTTCAGTAACGAAAGTACAAAGCAGTCACAGTATGTATTTTCAGAATATCAGTCCTGATTCAAGTCCAGTTAAAAGCAAGCATGAAACAAAACAAAGATTTAAAAAATGATAGCATAGGACAGAAAAGTTACAGCTTATAAAAATAAATTCAATCTAAAAGAATTAATTAACACCTTTGAGAAACACACTCGATTTACACTGAAAAGTAATCGTAGCAATTCACAGCTAGGTCACAGCAAGCACTAGGTCTTTATTGCTTTTGTCTTTTCACACAGCAACAAAAATGTAAACTGCCTAGAGCTATCTGCAGGATGATGGACAACAGACACCTGACTTCTCATTACAATAAACTGGTTTTTTAGCTCCCCACCAGCCGCCTCTGCAGCCTTAAATCAGGAGCATAAACTGAACAAAGCAAAATCTTGCTAGTGATTTTGAAGCCCACAGCACATCATTGAAATTTACATACACACAAGCCATTAAGTGAACATGTGATTAACTTAAAAGATTATGCATTCCATAAGGTAATTTCTTTTGTTCTTTAATAGTCAAATTGTAACAAGAAGAATGTCACATATTTTCTACCAGAACTGAAGTCTAATTGGTAGGAAATGGCCCACAAAAAGAGCTATAAAAATCTTTGCTGAGAAGTAGGGTGAGACTGCCAGGTTTTATGTGAAAATTGTCAATTGTACATATTAGCCAAATGAGAATTTGAAAGGTTCTCCTGCATACAGAATAGCAAATTATCTGCAAGGTTCCAGTGGGCTCTGGGGTTTTTTTTTCTTTTTTTCATTGCAAATGGTAGCAGAGACATCTAAGAAGCACTCAGAGCACTCAAATGTAATTTCAGGCACACAACTGTGGACCGAGTTGTGGCAGAAAAGCTGTGTCTCTTAAGAGCAAAATTGCAGGGTCAGAAGTCTTTCTATCGGTTCTGAAATGCTAGAATGAAAATGGCAGAACATGCTGTGCAACTCTGTTCCTCACCAAGTGTGCTACATAAAACCCTTTCACAAGTTTGGAGATTGCCTCTGGGTAGAGTTCCTTCTCACTGTTCTCTCTTCCCTTTATGTGCTCTGCTGTAGCATCTCTGCATGAGTGTCTCAAACTGACACGCAGCCTACAAGTCCGTGGGAGATTCTAACAGACAAAGATAAAATGAGTGAAGGACTTATTCTTTATAATAATTTTCACTTAAACCTCAGCAAAGATTGGAAAGATCCCAGTTTAAATAACAATGCATGGTTTGCTCAGTCACATTACGGGGAAGCATGTAGGAAAAGGAGAATTAAAAGAACTATCCCTACCAACTACCATTTTTAATGAAGAACTACCTACCCTCTTCTTTTAAAAGCATATTTTAGCAATGACTGAAGTTTTCTGTGTGTTATAGAAAAATCGAAGTGAGCTAAAATATTGCACTACTCCAATATTTTATTGTTATATTGAATCAAATAAGTGGTATTTTAAAAAACAGCTAAGATAGGCATTAACTACTGATTTCAAGTACTCTGCTAATACTTATGTCATCTCATTCACCACTGGAGGGAAAAAATAATTCCAGGTGGTCCAGGTCTTACCAGCTTGTAGCCAAATTTGTTCAAGAGCTGTCCACAGCTGCATAGGTCCTTGCTTCATTGCGCTGCTCTGCATAGTTATTTCAGACATGGCCTGTTCCAGTCTTGATGCGGCAAGGGAAGAGGCTCGCTGGGATCCTATGGACCAAATAAACACGAACAATAATGCATTTTATACTTCTTTGGGGTATTTATTTGACTCATTAAGACAGCAGGTCTGATTCTCCACTTACTGCATCAGTTTTATGCAATACTCCACTGAATTCTGGCATGACCAACTGGAGAGCCATGTTTTATAAAAGGTTAATTTACTGAAAAAAACCCCACTAAATTACCCAAGGGCTGCAGCTCAAACAAGCGAATTAAGAGACAGACAGTAATTTTATAAAGGTCTGCTTAGCATTCATCAATGAAGCTACTGTACTTAGCTCATCTGGAAAGCAGAACTCTACCATCAAATATTTCCCACAAATACTTACTAGTAACCTGTTTTGTAAGCACGTTCTCACTACACAATTACAAACTATGGCCCGCTAATGTAAAATCTTAGTATAGTTTTACAGACTAGCTTGGCATCATTCACACAGCACACACACTTCAAGCGACATCAGTATCGTTCTATTGGTTTAGAGGGAGCGTGGTTTTTCATTTAACCTTGGGGAGCAGAGAGCTCAGTGCATTGACTATATTAATCTTTAGTACGCACTGCAACATTTATGCAAGAACAAAGTATTTGGCACCCACATCTCTTGGACAAGACATCACATCAAAAGCTGCTCCCAGGAAGAATGCATGGGCAGAGACCACATTCACCAGTGCTGAAAGTGGGATTATACTGGTGAGCCAACCTCTCAGAGTGGTACCAAGAGGATGGTAGCAAAATAAGAAGCTACAAAATAAGATTTCACAGTTGCTTTTGTAAAGCTTTGGGAAATAAATATTTTAATATACACAGATTTAATGTGACTTTAAGATTGATAAGCTCTTTCTCTGGAGAGCTGCTGTGACTGAAGCACTTGTGCTGATTAGCATTACTCTTCCATCTCTCCTTACAGGCTGACCTGACAGACCACAAGATCTTGGAGTTAAAATCCTGCTTTCTCTCACTGCAGCCACCCTGAAGGAGCAGCAAAGCCTAGTAACAGGTACTCAGAGAAGCTGGGATGGCTCTGGGTAAGGGAAGGGACAGAGAGGCAAAAAACCTGTCAAGGTGCTTATGCATTAAGCAGTCTCTCGGAGAGGGAGTGTGTGCTTTTCCAGCTGAAGCACAGCTGAAAAGAGGGTTGCCAAACCACACCTCCTCACCAGCAGAACCCTCGCCAGCACACCATTGCATGGGGCCAGGGCGCCGGCAGGCAGAGCAGTGTGGTCCCCTAGCCGTGGTCCCCTTGCTAGCACTCCTCTGAAGGCTGAGCTGGGACCCAGCCGCCTTCTGCCAGGCGTGAGAGGAGGCTTGTTTCCACCCCACTCTCCTTGGCAAAGACACTGGTGCAGCACAGGGCAAGATACGGCCCACAGCATTTATCGCAGCCGGCATTGCCTGCCTGGGAGTGTCATGGATAGGGAGAGGCTGCCTCTGTGCAACTGGAAGTGCAACTGGAAGCCTAAAACTGCTATGGGAAATATCTGTCCCATTATCTCACCGCTAACTAATGTCATTCATTTTAAGCAGGAGAACTTCAAAACAGCCCTGCAGAACAGGCGCCTCCCACGGCTCCCTTGGAAAATGCAAATGTGCTCTTCCTAGATGCATTTCTTAAATTCCTATGTATTTTCAAAGACATTCCTGATCTAATGTTCCAAGAGATGACAGTGCAGTAATGTAGCAATTATGGCTTTAATGGTACAGTAAAAGCCATTCTGCTTTGCAAGGAGAATTTATTATATTTAACAGTTTATTTAACAGATTAATCTTCAGCCTGTTTCACTGCATGGGATTCCTCTCCCTGCCCTGCCTACTCACAGTCTGACCCCATTCCTCCCTTCACCTAGGAGAAATTTCACCAAAACTCCCAGAAATTTGAGTCAGACAAGGTTTGTTCAACACAGGAAAAACTACCAGGCACTAATCCCTGCCATTCAAAACACAGACAGCATTTTTGCAGAGCAGAGGCAACAAGGAAATGGCCATGTGAACAGCTAGAGATGTCATTAGGAGCACTTGGAAGTGAAGGCAGACCTTACTTCTAGATTGGCAAATTTGGAAAAAATTTACATGTGCTTTGGGGATTTTGCAGTCAGCCTAACCAACTTCTACCAGATACTAGCACTAGATCATGTTAATATGCTTTGAAAACAACTTTAAGTATTACGTTTCTCTGCCAAGACTGCTCTCTTTCAGAGAGGCTTTCTGGAGCTGTGTTTCTTGTGAGCACCCGTATGTAGTACTGGTCTGACTGCACTGGGTGGGAAGACAGGCTTGTGTTTTATTCACGTCCTCACAGAGCTCAAGGAAATCCTCTTTTCCTTGCAAGCCAATCCAAGGAAACTATGTCACTGTAAGGCACCTTTGTGTATTTTGGAGAGGTTCACACACTGCTGTGAGGCTGAACAGCCATTTAGGATCTACATCCTTCCCTCACAAAGCAGGCTTTACAGGAATATCAATACGAGCTAGCTGCACACAAAGGAACATGAGTCAGCTACTCCTCTCCTCTTTCTCTTCCTTAGCCTGGTAGCTGCCAAGAGGGGAAAGCCTGCGATTGGAGACTGATCTTGTCCAGTGCTGTGGGCATCAATCTGCACAGCCATAACAAGGGAACCCAAGTTACTTAGCAATTTACAGCAGAGGCTCTTTGCATGTATCAGCCTTTGGCATTCCAGTCCTTTGATGTTTATTTTCTTCCCCATTTCAGCCTACACAAGGAAGCAAACCACACTAGGCAGAGACCATCCAATCTCTTCCCAACTCTGCCCAGTCTCAGACACAGATATGCTCCTTGTTCTAGACACACACACGCCAGACGAAAAGGCTCTCTCCATCCCAGCCCTTAACTGCACATCTGTGACTGCTGCTCTTACCCATCTCTGCTGGACCGCTCTCAGGAATGCTCCCTAAAGCTCATCTGCCCAAATAAACTCTGTAAGAGAAGGTCTTTGCTAGCCCGGCCCTTCTGGACTGAAAGGCGCTCAGTCACAGCTCTGAACCTGAGGCAAGCAATGCGATGACCGTGGGGGTGGGCTGAAGGCTACTGGAGCCAGGAAAGAGGATGAGTATACCTCTAACACACTCATCTCCTGAGAGAGAAGGCAGGCGTGTGTCACACTGGTTTGACTCTGACATCAGGGTGGCGAGGGGAGCTAGAAAGACTTCAAGCAACATTTTAAAAAAAGTCTCTAAATATCTCATTATAAAATATCATTTCCTAAGGAAACGTAGATCTTTATATGCTAAAAAAACCCCACAAAACCTGTCTCACAGAACTTTAATGTCATGCCTCAAAATACATGCAAATGTTGGCATAAGAAGATATCACATCAATTTGTTATTTTAGTGCAGTCTTTCTCTTTTTAACTGCTCCACTAGACAGAATATAAACTTCACATTTTACAATAAAGCTCTCCACGTATTTTGGAAAGAAATCATAAAAATAACAAAATTGATTTTGTTGTGATGAGCTCTGCATATAAGCCACACAAACTATATCTAAATAATTTTAAAGCACCATTCTAGTGTTGTTATAAGACAAGAAGGTCCAAGTTTAATGTTTTGCATCCATCAAAAAACTGCTATCAAAATAGAAATGTACCTCAGCAGATTTACTAGGCTTATAAGAAACACAGAATTCCCCAGCCTAAATCACTTCAGGCAAGAGCATTATAAGATAAGACTAAATCAGAAAAAGAATGAAATGGCAAGGCAGCTGACTGATATGGGTGAATTTAGTTAGGAACACTGCTTCAGTTAGGAGAAGATAAAGAAAATAAAGAGGAATTAATCTTCCTCGCAACAGACCTAAAATTCTGGCACAGCAAATAATCTCATTGTGGTCTAACTGAGGGAGAGGCCAGTGTCAAACCCGGACGCAGTAACTCCCCCCTTCAGTGACGAACCCAGAGAACACAGAGTGCCTGTGCGTTACAGCGATACTGCCACACACTCCCGGGGGATTTCACAATGGAAGCCCGTTCCCTAAATATGCAAAAAAATCAGACCTCTTCTCTCCTTCAAAGCAGCCAGCCACAGCTGCAGCTCCTGGGATGCACAAGGGCCAGAGGGGCTGGAGCTGTACTCCCCAGTCTCACCTCCTTCTACCTTCAGAGAGGCTCCCAACCGGCACAGCAGACCCAGCTGCCTCTCCTCTGCAGATGGAGAACAGCAGCACCTAGAGCCTGCAGAGCAGGGAGCCACAGACCGTTGCTGAAATCAGCCAGTGCCAGTCCTGTGCTAAGGCGGATGGCACGATTTCAGTGCAAGTCCCATCCTTATGACCACTGTGGGTGCAACCATGTTAGCATGGAAACGCAGATTCTTGAAGTGGAGGAAGAATAAATTTCTTGGTGAAAACCAAACTGCATTCAGTGCAAATCACTTTATGCATCTGAAAAGCTGGTTTAAAGCTTATACTTTACATTAATTTCTTCATTCTGGCAGGCAGTGCCATGGCACACAGCATTTTCTGCTGAACTACGGCTGCTCCATTGCATGCTGGCTGCTAGAGTTGGGCTAAGAGCAGGCTGGAACTAGTATCCAACCCAGGTGCTTTTTGAGGAGGGCACTGCATAGAGACCTAACGTGCCAGACCTTTACTGTGACTCTGGAGGAGGTGCTGGAGGTTTGCAGCAGAGGAACGAGCACGAGGCAGGAGTGAGGTCTTAGAAGGGTGGCATACCAGCACATCAAAATATTACAGGCTCTGCTGGTAACAATTTGGCCTCAAAAATCCCAAACCATGCTGTGAAGTGCGTGCAGCCTAAATGTAGCCACACTCCTTCCTCCAGACAACAAAGCAAAGCAAGAGATCTCCAGAAGAGCATTGGATCCACACCCAGAATGCCTTTTATACATCATTAAGCATCAGCTAGAGCTGAAGGGGCAGGGATGCCTAATAATGCCTAGTGACTGATGGATTCTGCAAACTACCTACAGTGTTTTCCAAACCATTTTCATATATTCACTGAAATGGAACGTCCATTTTACTGCCCAGCATCAGAGATGACACGATATATTTCAAAAATCTTCACAATTATCCTCAAGTGATGACTATCCTAAGTGATTTTGTATCACCAGGAAACTTTCACGTCATATCCACTCCCTTGTCCAGTTATTTTTTTAATATGTCAAAGAGCACACATTCATTTAGTATATCTTCTTCATTTATCTATGCTGAATTTGGCCTGTTCTCTTTAATTAAACTGAAGACTACAGAACACTGCCATATAAACAATGAGTAAAAAGATCTATACAAAATAGAGACTCATTTCAGCAAAGGGTAATAAAAGGGAAATGGAATAAACAGATTAAAAATTACATAAATATGTGTGTATAAAATCAGTAAAATTACAATGTCATAAATATAGACCCTAAGGGTTTAATGCTACAAACAAAAGAGCAGACATGGTGAATAATGTTTTGATGTTTGAACATTTGTATGCTCAAGATCTAACCTTGCAATGCTTTGTAACCACTGGTGGGTACAAATGGGAGTTAAATACACAAATTAATACAATTCATGTACTTAACACATAAGAACTTGTCTCCCATCTCAGCTGTATATGCTGAGCATGTGACTTCAGTTTTACCAATTCCAAACGTTCAAGATTAAGATTCAGACAAACCCTAATTCCCTAGCCCCAAAGCATGAGACCCGTTTAAGTGTTAGTTTAAAAAAAAATCTTCTTGTCCGGTTTCTGAGTCTGTGAGGTTCATCTTCTTTGCAAGGTTTTTTTTCTTCTACATCCACAAGGGTAGAAAGTTGCTTCCCTAAAAAACCCTTCAAGTTAAAAGGCAAGTTTCTCACATAATCATCTGATTTTGAGAGTCAGGGTTTTAAAGGAAGCACCAAATATCACGAGACTTCTGATAAAATCACAAGTCAGCAGCGTTCTCTGAAAGCTTCCATTCCCCTTCCTGCCAAGATTAGCTTTGATGTCTCAGTTATTTCCATCTGACTGTATCTGTTACTGTGAATGTGTATTTACCATAGAATAATGCATCACAAGGTTTATGTACAAATCCCAAAGCAAATCACCCTCTAATAGGAATAGACACTCTCACTCAGCTTTCCAAAGCCACAATAATAGTTTGCTTGATCAGGACTTCTAAAAAGGATTACATTTTTTTTTTCTTTGGGGGGAGGGGGGGGGAAGGAGGAGGAAAAAACAGGACTGAATGATACTGTTCTTGCAGAAGTATCGTGAACTCCCACCTAATACCTTTTATGCTCGTCTCAGAGAACGTGAAAGAAAGCTGGAACTCACCTCCTTGTTTCACACATGGGTAAGATGAAGTATAGACAAATCACAGTGACACGTTCTGTGGCAGAAATGGCTCTAGAGACAGATCTGGACCTCCTGACCACCAGTCCAGCAACAGGTGCGCAGCCCCACCACCAGCTTTCCCCCACCCCATCCCTCACCAAAGAAGACAAAACATTCCTCTCTCACAAAAGCATGCATTTAGGATGGGAAAGCACAAATCTTGTTTCCTCACCAGAATCGGTATCATGAGCATCTGGGAGTGTGAGATGCAGTCCGTTATGCTTTTTGATCACCGGTGTTTCGGTCACGCTACTTCCTTTCTCAGAGCCACTGTAAAGACACAAAACCATGTTACCTGGCCACCTTTCAGCAGTGAGAACACGTTCCCCTGTGAGCAGGCAACAGTCTCACCTAGCTGCCACCAGAACTGAAAACTCAAGCTTTCCAGCTTATTGAATGTGTTGTTTTAACACCCCTACTCTGGCAACGGACAGGGAGCTGAGACACAGTACCCAGCAAGAGCTCCAGGGCATGTGCCAGAATCAGTTTATTTGGCTGTTGAGGCTTTTGCAACACACTGGACAAGGAACATGCTGGCTGCTAGAAGCCTGACTAGAGGAGGCAGACCAGCAGCCACATGCCCAGGAGGGACCACTATCTGCTGGACTTGTCTGCAGAAGGATTTGTTCACAGCTCTGCCGTGCTGATCCTTTTTGAAACAGATCAATTACCACCTTCCACCCAGGTGCTAATTTCTTCATTTCAAAGGGATTATTTTCTCCTCTTCCACCTTTATTCTGTTCAAACAGAGAAGGAAGATAAAAGCTACCACAAAACACTGCTTTATGAAAGGAGGACTACCTGGTCTGCTCATCTACTAGACTTCTTTCCTCACAGGAAAGGTTTTCCAAAGGGAAACTCAAAAAAACCCCCTCAACCATGTGCCTAATGAAAAATCACTTAACCCAGATCCCCTGAGCCTTTCTGTCACCACATAGTCTGCCATTCCTCCAGGATCAGATGGTGATGATATGTCCTCTCATCATCCATTAAGGGACAAAATACCAAAAGGAAAAGTGACTGCCCTGGCTACTTTTTCTGGCACGCTTCCAAGCCTGCGGCTCAGCCCTCAGACAATGTTCCTCCCAGGAAACAAGCTGTCACAGAGTCAGGATTGCTGTGGACACCCCGTCTTCCAGTCTGATCAGTCTTTTGGTAGAGATTGCACAGGATTCTCTTGAATTTGCATTAATCTAGCTGAAGAATTTGCTTGGGACTGCTATTTGGTTTTAAACATAATTATTCTGTTACTGCAGAAAACAACAGCAAAAGATAAATCTAGTCTTGTCCTTCCCAGCTAACAATCCAGGACTGAAAGCCACTTACTGTCGTTCATCATAGTGGTAGTCATATTTACAATGGCTAATTAACCTTTTACTTAGGCTTTGGGATCAACCACTACAGTTTCTGTTAAAGGACCTTTGAATTCTTGGGCATTTGACTACACAAATCTCCAGCCTTGACCAGGCCTCCTTGTCTTCCATGCTGGTTTCCACACTGATACTGTGATTTTAGACTATCATGTGGTGACAGATACATGGGAAAATTAAATTCTCTGTCCCATGCCTCAGCCGTGCCTAGTCAGGATTAACTCAAGTGTAAGTACCCTGGCTGGGGGCTGCTGGTGGTACCGTAGGGGCATTTCTGTCATACTGGTGCACTGAATATGCAGGTACACAGCAGCTACGCTTGCAAATATTACTCCCATGAGGCGAGTACTGTTTTGATACAGCAGCCACCACCACAAAGTCACTGTTAAGGCTGGACACTGGCTTATGGGCCATAGTACTGCACGAAGGACAGATGAGGAGATCGGTGGATAGCGTAAAAACATAGTGAAAACTGACCATGGGAGAGCAGTGTTCTAAGAAGGCTTGATGAGGTGGCCTCATATAACAAAATGCCCCTCAGTACAGTCAACAGCATGGCCTTTTAACTGGGAAAACAGACTGAAATCCCAGCCTGAAAAGCAGGTGGACTGCATTGTGCAAAACAGCCACTCCCGACAGCTTTATTTGCTATGCTGGAGAAGGGCTGAAAGTGACCTACTCCTTCAAAGCTGCAGTACAAGGCCTTCAGCCAAGAAAGCTTTTCCATGCACCATGGAAGGGACAGTAGCCAGATGATTTGCCTTGCGCATCCAGTGCTGGAAAGGCTGACAGTGGGACAAGTTGCCACTTCATTGCCCATGTTTTTAAAAGGTAGTTGAGACAGTGGGTAAAATGGTGACAAAAATTGCTGAAGGAAACACTTGATTGTGAGAGACTGCAGAGGTACCAGTTTATCAGAGAGAAGACAAGAGGGGACTTGAGCATGGCATATGAATAACTGCCTGGGGAGAAAATACTGGGCCCTGAAAAGACCCTTTAGTCTAGCAGTCAAAGAAAGATTGCAAGCCAGGAAACTTAGGCCAGACAAATGCAAGCAAATGTAACTAAAGTGCAATTTAATTCTGTAGGCGATTAGCTGCTGATTGAATACATGAAGTATTGGGTGCAACAGCTTGCAACTTTAAGTAAATACAGGCTTCTCTTTTCCAAGAAGCCTTAAAAATATGTCTGTATCCACGTCTCACTGAAAAGAATCCCCAGTAATTTCCTTCGCAAGCCCAACCTGGAATATTTTACATATTTGTTAGCTGATACTGCTGCAATCTGCTTAATACAAGGTGCTTCCTGGGTCACAGAATCTAGTCTGAAACTGCAGGTACCAAGTTCATTCTTGTTAACTTCCAAGAGTACTTCCCAATACAAAATGCTTTATGAAGTACTTTTTAAGGAAGCCAAAAAGACCCACTGGGAATAGCAGTGAAATACACATTAGACTTCCTAAAAGCAAAAGCAAAGCAATTTGTTTAGGCTTCTATGGCTAAAGCTTATCAAAAGCCTCTAACGCTATTGCATCTTGGGGTTTTAAGTATAACAGCCAAAGCACAGCTTGGGATCTGAATGCAGTCCAAATGTCTGATTTTCAATGTACTCTCTTCACGCAGGCTTGCAGCCCCCCACCCCTTGCAAGAGTAAATCTTACTCAGTCATAATTGTTCAGTGTGGATTTGATCAGCTTCATGAAGACTAGTCATGGGTATAAAGATTATTCATGTGAGAGGTACATGATTGGATCCTTAGCTAAATAGACTAAGGCCTAAGGAAATCAAGGACTCCAGCCTGAGAGAGACCATTTCTCTGCTGCTGTATCTTGATTTTTGTGTATGGTCTGCTGCTCATTAGCTAAACCAACAAGGAATAACTAATAATCCCTCTAGGACAACTTGTATATAGGCATGCATCATTCTGTACATATACTTGTGGTGTTTATAAAGCTTATGTAAATGCATACAGAAAATTATAAACAATACAAACTTCATTGGTCTGGTGTTGTGACTGTCGCCATCAAGCATGCTGTCCTTCCCATCAAACACAGCCTCTATGGACCTTACACATGAGAGATAAGTACAGTCTTGGGATAACATTCCCAAGACAGTTGTACAGTGTAATCTTGACTAGGACAATATCCAAAGGGTGTGGGAAGGAAGAAAACCCAACCTGGTAACTTTCACATTTTCTAAACTTTTCTTTCAGGAGGGAAGCAGATGACAGGGAGGGAACAAACAGGGAATCCACTACTGTTTAAATGCAGATTTACTAGGACAGGGGAAGGGAAAAAGATATTACATCCTTCACTCCTTTCCTTGCCCAGTTAGCACCAGACTACGCAACTGGCTTGCAACCACATAGTCTTGGCCATGTGCCTTTCCTTGGCTTACTTGTTCAGGGCTGTGTTACCCCCACACATTCCTGCATGGTGCCAACTGCTGCAGACTGTGAACAATCACTGATGGATGCTCAGCACTATTGGGGGAAAAAAAATAATTTGCCCTCCATTCTGGACATCTTATGGATAGAGATGTTTAGACATTCAGATCAGTAACTCCTGCTTCAAACTGCTTCTTCAATCTTAAAATCTTGAGGGCTGTTTGTTTTTTTCTTTAACTCATGGCTATTAAAATCTTGCCTTTTTAAATCACAGCTAGAACTGTTATTTATGTTTCTTTTTAAACAGTACTGTTTATTACTCTTTGCAAAAGAATTTAAGTATCTATACAACTACAGAAGATAACTGCATCTCCATCATAAAATCTGAACTTGTTAGCATAGAAAGCCTACCTGTGCTGTAAAACATTATATACCATCTGCCACATCTGCAACATATGTCTGCATGTCACCAGAGCCTCTTCAGGTCCTTTATGTATCCATTCCAGTTTTACTTTGGTGAAGAGTAAGCTGCAAGATGAAAAATAATAACTTCTGGTTTATTGGCATCTCAAAAATGTGGAGAATCAGTATCACTCTAGCGAGATTCTGGCAGACAGCATTTTTACTTGCTTTGTATGTACAGCAATAAAAGAAAACACTGTGGCACGAAACATTTCATTTGGCTCAACTTTGATTCCCCACAAGGAGATGAGAGGATTAACAATATTCCTCAGCTGCAGTCAAATTTGCGTCACAAAGTTGGCAGGACAGTGTTAAAAGCAATGCATTGCAAAGCTAACAAGGTGAAGCATATAGTGAATCTCATTTTATTTTGGACAGCATTAAAAACAGAATAAAAAAGAACTGCCATAATACATATGTCAGACTGTTTTCTTACTCTGGCATCTTCTTCTAGCACTGGCTTATATAATAAATTTCAGACAAAAAACCCGACACACTTAATACACGCAGACAATTATGTAATGCCTCACAGGAAGGAAACACCACTTCTTAACCCCAGCTGGCGATCATCTTGTGCCCGTAGGCAAAACAGCTGATAGCCCTTGTACATTCTTGTTCTAGGTAGTGTAACTGCTGCTACTATTCTTATACCTAGAGAATACGTACTCGCACAGACACTGGAATTCAGCAGAATTAGGTCACACAGAGGTTAGAAGACAGATTCAGCAATGACACAACCTACCACTTGCTGCTAGTATGGCTTTGCATCCTGTACAACACCCATTTTATTTAATTGCCAAGATGATTGAATTTATTTCTTATTTACTAACGCAAATTTTCTTCTCTGCTTTAAATGTTTTCATAGTCCAAGATCTACACATTTTGAATTAGCTTGATGTAGCTAGTGATTAATCCACTCAATACACACATATGTACGTACATGCACACAACATTATCAGCTGAATGTTAAAAATCCTAAAACCAGTTTTGTGAATGCAGGCTCCTGGAGAATCCAAACACCTTCAGAAAGAGACAACAGCACCTGCATAGATTATGTCAGAGAAGACTTTGCAGCTGAATAAGAGATCCTTCACTTGCAGTAATTAGAAATCTGCAGCCAAGGCTCTATGGTGCATATCTCCAGTAATGTGCTAAAATGGCAGTCCCATTCTGCAGTAAAAAATGGTGGGGGAGGGAGCGGAAAATCACCAAAATGTAGCCCAACTGTATCAACTGCTACAGGAAAATCTGCTCATGGTCACTGCTACCATTTAACCTCACAGGACAAGCATTCAATTAAATTCTCCAAGTACAAGCTTAGGCTAGGAAAGGAAGAACAAGATTCATAACTAAGGGCATTTGTCTTTGTCCTTTACTATTTTATATCCCTACTCTATGTTTACCTTTGATTGTCTTGTTAGTGATCTAAGCAACAAAAATACTTATAAAAACTTCCCCTGCTTTTACAGATGCTGATCCCGTAATGGAAAGGAAGTGCCTTTATTATGATTCAGGTAGTTATTCTTGGTCTAGATCCATGGACAGATCAAAAATTTTGTCAGGGCAAAGAAAACAACGGTATCTGGAGTAAAAACAAGACTGAATTCACTGGAGGGTTTAGCAATGGAAACTGGCCAGTGGTGCATGCTGCTCTGTATCCCTTAGTTAACTGGGCTCCTAAGAACAAAGCTTGTTTTAATACAACTGACTACAGAATCAATCACATAGGAGCAAGGAATATATAGCACACTAGAAAGTTGGCAGGTTATACCCTGGAGTGCAACAATATTATAAAAGACAGCTTCACGAACATGAAGTTCCTGAACAACAATGCAGTTAAGAGGACAAGCAACCCTTAGCATCCATATACGGACAAACAGTCAAGTAGGAGCTGGAAGATGTGGTTATTCCTGTTCACAGCTTCAGCAAGGTACTTACTACAATCCCGTTTCTAGTTCTGGCTCTTGAACCCCAAAAGACGACTAAAAATGGGATGAGGTTCAGAAAAAGGTTATGCAAGTGATCTGAAGGCTAGAAAAATATATTTCATCAGAGGCTTAAGGAGCTCAGTTTACTTGGTTTAACAGAGAAGCAGCAAAGATTATTTTGTCCAAGCCTGCAAGCAACTACATGGAGAAGTACCTAATTATGAGTCTTTGATCTGAAAGAAAAGGTATCAAAAACTCCACAGATTTGTTGGAAGCTGAAACTAGTCAAACGGACATTTATAAGTAAATGCAGACACATAACTATCACAGAAAATCATCTTTGCAGTAGCTATCTTTGTGTGCACAGTAAATTCTGTAGTCTTTAATGCATTTTCAGCAAAACAGGATAACATATGGAAAACAATGGTAACGCACAAATAGAAGCTATGGTCTTGATGCATAGGCTCATGAGCAAGCTTCTTTGGACTGCGCTGTGCAGAGGGGTGAGACTGCAGCATCACCTTCCTTCTGGCAATTACTCCTATTAAATATATTCTGTTAGTCCAAGAAACAACCACATTGAACGATCTATGGCATTTTAAGCATACAGAATGCTTCATAAACCACTACAAACTTTCAAAATTAAAGACTTTCTGAAGCACTGTATGATCCTCCTTGCAGCAGAAGAGTGGTGGTCGAGGAGCCTGAGGCCTAGAATATTAGATCTCTGACTAACTGCACGCTTTTGAATCCTGTAAGACACTACTCAATATTAATGAAATAGAAGAATATAGGAAAGAAAACCCTATTAGCAGTCAAACTGCTATACTGGAGAGTTATATTAAGGGTTCCTTCTCCTTTTCACATTAGTAGGGATATAGATGGCTTTGTTATCAGCAGGCAATTAAAATCACTATATAGTGTATTTAAACATTGCAGTTAAACATTGAAAAGAAACCTATCAAGTTCTTCTCTCTATCACTCTGCTGCTTACTGCTTACAGTGAGTATATGTCAACTTCTTTGGATGAAGATGCAATGTTTTGTCTCAGGAGAGAGAACAACTAGTGAAACATAAGAAAAAACTCAAATCTCTCCCAAAAACAATGAAATGTCACCACAATATTATCACCAGTTGTAAGGCACCAGCACACAGAGGTTAAAAAAAAATATCATGCAACTTCAGCAGCTGTCTCTGCAGTGCAACGCTTCCAGATCTTGAAGATATCATGCGCTGTTAGCTATTGTGGTAACTCATCTTTGGAATAGTGCTATTCACGCTCCCATGTAAAAATGTAATGAACCAAACAAAACGGCAAGTGGGAAAAATGTAAGTGGCAAAAGGAACCAAACCATACTGACAGCAGTAGTTAACAGTGCAATTAAACATGATAATTAAAAGATGGAAATACAAATCAGGACATCAGGTAGTATGTGCTATACACTGTTTGTGTTTCTCAGCTTCTAGTAAGTTTAATAACAGCAAAAACAGATAAATAAAAACCTAGGGAAAACATAAGTATCACTTATCTTGAGCTTATTATTACTGAGATAGCACTCTTGCTACAAATAAATCTAATGAGTACTGTGTCATATCATTGACTGTGCCCAACTCTCAGGGGCGTAAATAAAAATTACGTATGCACAGATCTCACCTTATTATATTTTCTTAATATCATTTTACCGTACTTTCATATGATGCTTTTAGTATTAAGCAGAGCAGACTTAAAGAGATTCAACAAATAAAAATAGCTCCAAGATTATCAATACAGTCACTGGTAATTCTGTTAGCCTCTGAAAATGAAAACAGATTTGGGCTAAAGCAAATTGAAACAATGGAAAATAACCAGTGCTTACTCTGGATACCAGATTCTAAAGCTCCCTCTCAGAAGAGGTTTTCTTTTATCACATATGTGGACAGCATATAGGAAATCTTCTATTCTCTGAGGTAACGTCAGGTAACTGCCACAAGCAAACATACATATATATCACATTAACTCTGGCAAATTAAAATCTGCGTATGGTTGACTTTGCTGAGATAGAAAGCTCTAAAAATTCAAAATTACGCTTCCCAAATATCAAAATTTCAGTAGTATAAATGACATAAATATCATAATACGGCATGCATTGACAAAAAAGTAAGGACTGGAATACTGGAAGGTCTATGAAAATTTTCAGCAGCAAACAAGCTGCTTTAGTTGATTTCAGGAAATATTCCACATCTGTCTTCATAAAGACTGATTTCAGCTGCTGATTTCACCACATCTCAAGGCCTGGCCACATACACCTACTTAGCCTTCCTGAGAGTCTTCTAATCCTACATGACTAAATGCTCAGGCTTTAAGTTCTTTAATACGACCTGTGAAGAAGAGCTGCAGTTCTTTCCCATCATTGACAATCTAATTATTGAGGTTTGATAGTTAATACTTATTATCAGAAGGTTTCACATGAGCATACGGTATACTATAAATGCTTGTGGGCACATCTGTGGAAGAAGTTGTAAGTTGCTATGTTTAGTAATAACCTAACGACTACGTTATGGATGCCATAGGACTATATACATATTTATTAATCAGTTAATTATTGGGAGTTTTTCAAGCTGCTTTAAAATGGAATTTTAAGTATCAAATGTAGCCCTTTATACATTTATACAGCATCACAATGGGATCTCTGTGCCCTATCATTTAAGAAACAAATAATCCTTGCCCATGGCAGGGGAGTTAGACTGGATGATCTTTAAGGTCCCTTCCAACCTAAACCATTCTATGACTCTATGATTCTATGAAACAATAACACATTCCACTCATTTCAAGGTTGAGAGACTAAATTAGAAATAATGAGTCTTATGTAGTTATTTATCTATCTGTTTTGCCATTCACTGGCTGCTTATAACCCTCCCAGTTTTTCAGACCTTGTCAGCAGCTGCTCAGAGATGTACATGTCTTCGAGCTTTACCAGGGCCATCATTCCCCGAAGTCTTTCATTATTTCCCCAGATTTGTCTACCTACACACACAGATGCTGGGTTATTTTGGATTTTGAATACAAAAGGAAACAAAACAAAACACCAAAACCAGCAGCAGCGTGTCCCAATTCACAGAGACAATTATGTATATTAGCATGAAGATACTAAACTTCTG